TTTCTTATTTATAAGGCAGAAGTTGAAAATCAGTTAGATAGGAGAATCAAACGGGTTAGATCTGATAGAGGTGGTGAATATGGATCTAATTTCTTAAAAGATATTTGTGAAAAGAATGGCATAATTCATGAAACATCAGCCCCCTATTTTCCTCAACAGAATGGTATAGCCGAAAGGAAAAATAGAACTTTAAAAGAGATGATGAATTCTTTACTAATAAGTTTCGGGTTATCTGATAACATGTAGGGGAAGGCCATTCTATCGGCAACTCATATCTTGAACCCATTTCCTCATAAGAAATTAGATTCTACCCCATATGAATTATGGAAAGGATACGCTCCTAATTTACAATACCTGAAAGTGTGGGGGTGTCTGGCTAAAGTGGGCTTGCTAGACTTTAAGAAGTCCACCATCGGACCTAAAACCGTTGATGCAGTGTTTATAGGGTATGCTACGAATAGTGCTGCATATAGATTCATGCTTTTACAAGATTATTCTATTTGTGAGTCAAGAGATGTTGTTTTCTTTGAAAATACTTTTCCTTTAAAGGAACCGAGAATAAATATTGAAACACAAATAGAATATATTCCATCAACTTCTTCTAGTAATCATGCTAGGTCTTCTGAACAAATTGATTTTGAGCCTAGAAGAAGTAAAAGGCAAAGAGTTGAAACCTCTTTTGGACCAGACTTTATTACTTCCTTTATTTCTGAGATAAATGATTTAGACTTCATTTCAGATCCTATAGCTCAAATTTTTCTATTAGATGAGGATCCTAAAACTTTTGAGGAAGCTATAAGATCTATCGATGCTAGTTTTTGGAAAAGCGCTGTTAATGATGAACTAGAATCGATAATGTCTAATCATACTTGGGAATTAGTTGACTTGCCTAAGGGATTCAAACCAATCTCCAACAAATGGGTCTTCCGGAAGAAACTAAGGCCAGATGGTTCGATTCAGCGGTACAAGGCAAGGTTAGTCGTCAAAGGGTTCACTCAAAGGTTTGGTTTAGACTACTTTGATACATACTCTCCCGTTACAAAAATCTCAACGATTCGTGCATTATTTGCACTAGCCTCTATTCATAAGTTACAGGTACATCAAATGGATGTTAAGACTGCTTTCTTGAATGGGGATCTAGATGAGGAGATTTACATGGAGCAGCCACTAGGTTTTGAGGCACCTGGTATGGAAGGCAAAGTTTGTAGACTCAAAAAGTCACTATATGGACTTAAGTAGGCTCCTAAACAGTGGTATGAGAAATTTCATAAAACTATTCTTAGTTTTGGTTTTGTTGTGAATAGTTCGGATGCTTGTGTGTATTCGAAGATGTTTGAAACTGAATGTGTTATCATAAGCCTTTATGTTGACGACATGTTGATTTTCAGTTCTAACATTGAGTCCATTAACAAAGTTAAAAATTTCTTGTCCACTAAGTTTGAGATGACAGATTTGGGAGAAGTAGATGTAATCTTAGGAGTCAAAGTTACCAAAACTGAGAAGGGATTTTCTTTATGTCAAGCACATTATATAGAGAAAGTGCTAAAGAAATTTGACAGTTTTGATGTCGTCCCTGTTCGAACTCCTTATGACCCTAGCATACATCTAGTTAAGAATAAAGGAAGTAGTGTTTCCCAAACTGAATATGCTAAATTAATCGGAAGTTTAATGTTCTTAATGAACTATACTCGGCCTGATATTGCTTATGCTGTGAGTAGACTAAGTAGATATACTCATAATCTGAGTGGTGAGCACTGGATTGCGCTTAAACACTTACTGAAGTATCTTAAGGGTATTGTGGATTGGAAACTTGAGTTTGTTGGCTTTCCTGCGGTACTGGAAGGATATTGTGATGCCAACTGGGTTTCTGATAATGATGAGGTAAGCTCTACGAGCGGGTATGTTTTTACTTTGGGTGGAGCAGCGATCTCGTGGAAATCATCAAAGCAGACTTGTATTGCTCGTTCTACCATGGAGTCAGAGTTTATAGCTCTTGACCTAGCTGGGCAAGAAGCCGAGTGGCTCAGAAGCTTGTTAGCAGATATTCCGTTGTGGGGAAGACCGACTCCTCCAGTTTCATTGTTGTGTGATTCACAAGCTACGATATGTGTGGCTAAGAACCAAGCTTACAATGGTAATAAAAGACACATTCGCATAAGACATGAATCAGTTAGACACTTGATAAAGAATGGAATGCTCTCTTTAGAGTATGTGAAGTCGGAAAGGAACCTAGCAGATCCACTTACCAAAGGGTTAAGTCGGAAGCTGGTCCTAGATTCGTCGAGGGGGATGGGTCTAAAGCCCATTGGTTGAGGAATTCATGGTGGATACCCAACTTAGTTATCTAAGTTCCATGTGGTCAAACGAAACCATGGAAAGACTCATAGTGCTCATTCCTACTGCCTATCCCTATGATGAATAATGTGCATGCCCAGGATGAGCTTAATTGCTCTGAATAAATTCATAGCCCAGGCTTTGGGTGGTCTTAGTGAGAAAGACTTGATGAATTTACCGATTTTGGCTGAATATCTATTCTTAATAAGTTCATAACCCAGAGTGAGTGGGTAGGAAATGATGAACTTACCGACAGAAAGGTTGAGTTTGTTAAACTCTTAATAAATTCAAATCCAAGTATTTGGATGGTTCTAGTGAGAAGGAATTATTGAATTTACCGATAAATGAGGTTGAATATTTATTCTTAATGACTTCTTAGCCCAGAGTTTGGGTGGTTCATTTATAATGAACTTGAAAAATGTCACCATACCCTTTGTGTGGTTGAGCTATTATAAAAGCTCTTAATTATTTCATATTCCTTTTTAAAGGGTGGTTTATGTTGAGATAAACTTGATGAAATAACCTATGTAAGTGAGAAGGGTTAGCCGCCTTCTATGAAAAATGTTGGGCTATTTTTCTAGCACACTTACTAGAATCATGAGGTAAGATGGCCAAATATATACTTTTGTATATATATATCTTACACATCGAGGACTCAAGTGGATGAAGGGGTTAGTTGTGTGTTATGAGTTTACCCTGATCTTAGAAAGTTCCAGACTAGTTTCACTTATCTAAGAGAAGGATTGCTCATAATCACTATGTACTAGTTCCAGATATGTTCACTAGTGCTTAAGAAACTAATCTCGCTATTGCTCTTCTGGAAAGCTTGTTTTCGAGTTTCAGAAGATTTCTTTCGCATTAGTGGGGGAATGTTGGTAATGCACAATCACACATAGTGTTGGAAACACTATTGGGAATGGTATTTAAGGCTTGACATTCCACTTCCTTGTTGAGTGATAGAGAACAAGGGGGCTCTCGCGTACCGCCGCCGCCGTCTGTCCGTTTCGTCTCGGCTCGGCACGACACGGCACGGCTCGGTTCGGTTCGGCTCGGCTCGGCTCGGCTCGTGGTCGTGGTCGAGGTCGAGGTCGTGGTCGTGGTCGTGGTCGTGGTAATACGTGTCTTCGACACGTCCGCGCGGATATTATCTTTTTAGAGAAAATTCTTGAGGAATTTCTCTTTGAAAGAAACAAATGGAAAATGTGAAAGATATCAACTGATATTTATAGGCTGCTGAGGACTGTTTGAATTTCAAACAATAACAGCTGAATTATTTGTTATCAGAAATTAAACAGTTTATTCCTAAATTAAATCAGAAACGTTAAGATGTACCTGGACTGATTTACAGCTTTGTACAAAGGAGACAAGCTGTTAATATCAGGAGTTACAGGAGTTATTTGATTTAATTCCAGGGGTTACATGATATAATTTCGGGAGTTATAACAGCTGAATAATGATACAATGAACCTGGACTATTTCTGAGTCAGGTTTATCTAGACGTTTCAGCTGTTACAAATAAGAGGTTTAATCCTGAAATTTTATGGACGATTTTAACCCTATTTCTAGCCTATAAATAGATAGCTATATTCAGCTTCTCAACTCACTCCAAATTCACAATTCACTTACAAAGTGTTTTCTAAAGTTCTCTCTGTGAGTTCTCTGAGTGCTTTCCGATCAGAAGTGCAATACCACCAGCAGTCCACTCCGGTTTCGGGTGTACGAAATTCGGAGCGACCGTGTTAACCTCGGGGGACGGTCTGCCTACTGCAGCGATTACACACATCGAGGCGAATTCGTTTCTAAGGCAATGGTTCTTACCACGACACGGTTTACGAATCTGTTCTTCTTAATTACTATTTATATTTTCAGTCAGTGCTAACGGTGTAGTTTTGCAGTTCATATATCCAACAAATGAAACACAACTACCATAGCAGGATAACTACAGCACGAAGAGGAAAGTGAAGCCAATGATTCCGAATGAGTTATATTTAAATATAGTCTACTACTTCAGGGCCACATTTTTTTAGGTGTAAAGGATGGCATAACTTGGAGATAGGGGAAGTGATTGCCAATTTCAAAATTCGAACTCTAACCGGCAATATATCGCCTCTTAAAAGTTACCGGCCGAACTGAGTAGGCTAAATCCTAGGTTCCTTCCGGGTCACCTTTGATTTGCACTAGCATAACATGACAATAAAAATTAAAAAGACATTTTTTGTTACATAATTCAATGTAGGGTAGTGCACTGGTTTGAGATAGAATCATCACAAAGAACGGATATGAAACATGAAGATAAGCCAATCATTTCATAAAAATTCAAACCACCCCACAATTAAATCTATCCTAGGAATACATAAGACATTGAAATCATAGACCGAGTTAAAGTACAATGGTAGCATTTCCAAAGGACATCCAATTGTAAACCAACAAAGAGAAGAACAAAAACTAAACCAAAATAACAAAAGGTGTCAAAACTAAAAATTCATGAACCAAACTATTAATTAAAGCACCCAACTTTTACCCATACCCCTTATACCCAGTAAAAAAATGTTAACTTTTTTCAATGTTTAATACTACTAAAATTCTGGGTTTTACTTCCAAACTAAAAATAGAGGTAATAATCTTGGAAGCAGAAACAAAAAACGGGTCTACAAAAGTTCAGTTACCTTCTTTGTGAAGCAGAGATGAAAGGATCCACTTTGGGGGCAGCAATTGTAGCACACAGTAACAAAGTGCCAACTCCGAAGCCTGCAACTTCGCTTATGTGTTCCATTTTTTGCCGTGTTTCTGATCAGACATCTAAAACCTGATCGATTCCGTAATTCACTTTCAACTCTATTGGGTTGTCATGGAACGTACTTTTTTATTTGGTAATTAAAATGTTTCAATGAACTCTAATACCAAGGCCTATTAGCTCAGTTGGTTAGAGCGTCGTGCTAATAACGCGAAGGTCGCAGGTTCGAAACCTGCATGGGCCAATTGTGGGGTTTTCTTCCCTTTTGTAAATTTCTAGTGCTTAGGCATATTTTGTCGTACTTTGGGCCAAAATCTGACCTTTCGGTTGTTAATTGCCAACTGAAAGTCCATCTAATTGTTTAAAACTGACAAAATTGCATTGGCGAAATATTTTATCATCAGACAAAATCTACACAAATTTAGGGACTTGAAATCATGTAATCGTTCAAGTTTTTAATTTTACAGGTCGAGTTAGAATTTTACATCCCTCAAATTAAGTATAAATTTTATTTATAATTAAATAATTTATTTTATTACGTATTCATAAAACTTAAAATTTTAAAATAATTCGATTATTATATCTTAATATATGTTTTCACATACATATTGAGTTTGTGAATTCTAGTTTGTAAGATTTCCCATTGAAAACTATTGGGTACATTCATGATGAAAGGACCCATTCAAATAACATAGTCAAATTGGATTTAAACTTTGCAAAGATATTCCAAGTCCAAGAGCTAAAGGATAAATTATGTGAGAAAAAATAATTTCAAAAGAAAGTTTGCTTATTTGAAAAATTAAATAATTAGTTTCATAATCATATTATTTAACTGCTTATGCAAACAATGTTACACATCACAATTCGTAAAATTAAATGATTAGAAAATGTACCCTCCATCCTCTCCAAAATAATTATAATAAGCTGTATTTGGTTGGTTTTGCATGGCAGTCTTGTTGCAGTAATTACCAGGCTGATCATCTAGGTTCCACAATCCATCCCATAACCCTTCCCCTACCAGATACTGATCTATCCAACCAGCAGTATAAGAAGCTGGCTCTTGAAACAAGCACTGATACTCTGAAATAGGGTGCATGGAAACCATCCCCGACTCCCCTCCCGATTCATCAATCATCTCTACTGCTTCACTATTTACTTTGCCATCATCTCCACCTCCTTCTGGTTTTTCCTGTCGCTGTTTTAGCTTTAGGATCTGAGCTTTTCTTTTTTGTTCCTTCAGAGAAGACTTCTCCTTCTTATTGAAATGGGTTCTCCAATAGTTCTTTATCTCATTATCTGTTCTCCCCGGCAAGTATCTTGCAATTGTAGACCATCTGTTTCATTTTTCACGTACAAATCAAACACCATAACCATACATACATACACATATATGTATATATTAAAGGAAAAGTAGAAGAAATAACAAAAAAGAAGACGAGGCATTATTACTTGTTACCCCAATGTGCATGCAATTCAATAATGATCCCTTCCTCCTGTGGTGTTATATGACCTCTTTTAAGACCCGGCCTCAGATAATTCACCCACCTAAGCCTGCAGCTCTTCCCACTCCTATTCAAGCCTGAAAAATTAAAAATAAAAAACCATTTTTTAACCACTATTACAAGTTAACATACATACATACATATATAGTAATTAAATTGTACCTGCAGACCTAGCCACTGAAGTCCATCGTCCTTCTCCGTGGAAGTTAACGTATTCAGTAAGCAGCTTATCTTCTTGAGGAGTCCAAGGACCTTTCCTCAACCCTAGTTTTGGAGCTTCCCAACCCATCATTCTAACCATTATTACAACTTCCTTTTTCCCACTGACTTCACTAAAAATTCTTGTCTCCAGATCGTATGACACAAGTTCCATTGTTACCTTAACTCTCTTATATCCCTTCAATCATGCCAGTTCCATGTTTTCATTTTCAAAATCCATTTGATGATTCATCAGGAGGACAAGATCTTTGAAATCAAATTTCTGCTTGAATTCTTCAGTTTTGCACACGTGTTAAATGTCCAGGTGCTCACCAGCTCAGCTGTTTTTTAACCAGTTAGACGACAAGTGTTGGTTACTACATGATCGTGATTCCATAACACAATCTCGAGCTACATTGTCTTGTCATAATAACAAGATAGGACAAAATTTGACTCTTTTAGGCCGAAACACACAAGTTGATGTTTCCTTGAAAATGGCTTATGGCACAACCTTTATGGAACACTTGTTGGCATAAACAATTCTTAAATGCATGCTTTAGGAATTGTTTATTACCAAAGAAGGTTCTAGGATTCCATTTATGGTAATGGAGGAATAAAATATATGGTGGAAAGGGGATATTTTTTTATGAGTCATTCATGGTCCTTTTTGCGCCATCACGTCGTATGTGTGTATATATAGCATATTTGGAATGTTAGGGCATTGCTTAACTAGACCAAAGTTAATATTTTAATGAACAATGGCTATATATAGGTGTTGACGCGTAACATATTGGAACTATTCATTAGTATTATAAAAATGAAAAAAGGTACACCTAAAGATCTTGTTCAATGTACTCACCGAGATATTGTTTTATGAAGTGATAGCTTTGCAAGCAGTGAGAAATGCTTGATTTGATAGTAGCGAGGAAGATTTAATGAAAGTTGCGGTATTGGTGTTTTCCCTGAGTTGCCCTTCAAAGGGTAGGCGTTTTTGAGGTTGGTGAGGCGTATGATTTATTGTTTTGTTCACTCTTTTTATTTGATTTTAAGTGGTTCAAATCTATGGCTACTCGATGATATTAATAGTGGGCTTTTAATAAGACGAAAGATGAAATGTAGAAAGAGAGAAAAAATAATAGAAAAATTTAGAAATAATTTCAAATGCACTCTACTGCCGTTAGTGTTTATACTCGTGACCTCTGAGAACAATAATAATTTTTTCACTTACTGAAATAAATTGATTCGTGTTTTAAATGCAAGTTAAGATGTATATTATTTGTGTTACAATTATTTTTCGAAATTTAAGTTGGACCATAGTGATTAAGAGTGAGCTTTGAATCCCAATGGGCCTAGGTTTGATATCCCTATGAAGAACATTTGATACGTCTAAAATCTAGTAGTATCTGGTGTGATCTACCTAATAGTTTTAACGCGACATAACAAAAATAAAATATTTGCCTTTAATTCCTTGTTTTGAAGTCCCACATGCATACGTGGCTAATTTTCTTTTTATTAGAAACTTAGTCAATGGTGGGTGAAACCTAGCTTATTCACGTAATGCTATTTGCCTTAGGCTAATGTGATTTCGATTACGGACAAATCAATGAAGAATCTGGCACCTCATCAGTGTCGCAGCCTTAAAGCCAAAAGCTAACAAACAATTCAATTTGTGCACCACACATTGGCGGTTTAGATTTAAAACTCAAGATAATATATATATTATTTTATTTAATCAACAAAATATCATATAAAAGGTTGATTATAATATCATATGAAATATTTATCTTACATAACCTGAGCTCGAATGATATTATTTATAAAGTGTGTAAATTTATCGAAAAATAAAAACATAATATACATTATCATAAAATAGCATAAAAGTATTAAAAAAATATTCACAACTATATTATTTAAATTAACTTAAAAACCTCATCCTAATTCAACCCTAATCAACTTATTTGAATCCTATAATTTTCTAGTAAAATACAAATAACAAAAATATATTTCATGAAAGTCGATTGTTAAACGCCCGTGACAAACATTTCATATACTTGTATTCTTTTATATGGAACGATTAACATAATTCCAAGAGCTTCCCCTCCCATTTCATCCCCACCTTCTCCTCCTCCAAACCAGGATACTCCTATAAGCCATCTCCTGCAATCTTCAAGAACTTCTCACAAACTGCAGCAGATCTTTCCACGGCCGAAATAAGTAGCACTCCGAAGCCTGATCCGATGACCTTAACACTTACACTGTCGCCGGGTTCGACCCCACATGAAGCCAAGCCCGAAGAAAGAGGCATCCGCCTTATCCAACTGCTCTTGACATGTGCCAAGCATGCTTCCACTGGCAACCTACACCGTGCCGATGAGTGTCTCCGGCAGATATCGCTGCTTGCCTTTGTGCCGGGTGACTCCATGCAGCGTCTCTCGACATGGTTCACCTCTGCTCTTGCCGTGCGCCTTGTCAAGCGTTGGCCTGGCCTACATAACCTTGAATTACTCTCAATTGCCGAAACAATAACTGTTTGATCAAGCTCAGTCGCTTATCGGGCAAGCGTTTCCCTACCTTGGGCTCTCTTATGCCATCATATCTCATACACTCATCAAAGCCACGACGGGTCAGCGAGTGATCCATCTCATCGACCTGGGTTCCGGCGATCCGAACTTGTGGATTCCGCTGATTCGGAGCTTTTCGTGCTTGCACACGGAAACACCTCATTTGAAGATCACCTGCATGAATGCTAACAGGGCAATATTGGAGGATTTAGGCACAAGGCTAGTGAAAGAAGCAGAAACACTCGACATTCCCTTCCAATTTAGCCCTCTAAATGTTAATTTAAGAGAGCTAACATTAGACAAACTGAAGGTAACATCAGGGGAAGCCTTGGCTTTCATTTCAATCTTAAATCTCCATACTTTATTAGCCGAAGATGATAGTGTAGATGCACATTTCAGCCACAACAAGACTAACGGCATCAACGATTCGAAGCAAATGTCTCAGTTTTTATCGATGATCCGATCATCGTCATCTAACTTATTTTTCTAGTCAAAAAAGAAGCCGACCATAATCTAAACAAACTAGTTGACCGATTCGTCGAGGGATTGTATTATTACAGCGCGGTGTTCGATTCGGTCGATGCTACGCTTGGGCCAACACCTGGAGTGGGGAAAGACTTGTTTTGGAGGAAATGTTTTGGAAAGAAATTGAAAACATTGTGGCATGTGAAGGGGTTGAACGAGTAGAGAGGCATGAGAGGTATGGGCGATGGATGGTTCTGTTCGGGCAAGCTGGGTTCAAGCCGGTTCGGATGTGGCATGACTCGATGGAAGATGCCAAGCAAATGATGGAAGCATGTGGTAGAAATGGCTACAAAATTGTTAATGAAAAGGCAAGTTTGATGATTTGTTGGCATGATAGACCATTATATGCAGTGTCTACATGGACTTGTTAGAGGGGTACATAACAAATTTTCCCTTTTTTAAGTTTGTGGGATAATGTTAATAAAAATGGCAAACTACAATGTATAGTATATAAATTATCAGTTTTGATCTGTTTTAGTACCTAAACTTTTATTTTTTTTAAACTATACCTAACATTTAGTTTTTATTTCATTTTAGTACACTCCGTTAAAAACTTAATGCGTTTAGTACCTAAACTATCAATTTTTGTATATTTTAATACTTAAACTTTCATTTTTTTCAAAACATAACATTAAGTTTTTAACAGGATACTAAATTGAAACAAAAATTAAACGTTAGGTACGATTTTAAAAAAAATTAAAAGTTTAAATACTAAAATCGATCGACTTGATAGTTTATGTATTAAATGCATAATTTATTCTAATATTACTAAAAAGTAAAATACTTTAACTTCAACGTCGGTCCAAGAGAAAGGACGAGTTTCTTGGCTCCAAAAATTTGTAATTTACAAACTTTTATCCGATAAATTGCAAAAATCAAAGATTCCAAAAAGTTGGGTTATTAATGTTATTATAAGTATTTGTTATTTGTGAATATTTATTAAAATATTATATAAAATTCTAATATAATTTATTATTATAATTTGAATATTTTTTTAAGATTAAAATTTATATGATATATACATTTTAATTTATAAATAAAGGGTTTAAAAACATTATATATATTTATTTTCTTTACTTTCCTAATTATATAATTCTTCATTATATAAATAATAATAACTTATTAATTTCATACTTGTATACGTGAAACTTGCTTATTTTTAATATGATTTTTGTAAAAGCTAATAGTTATTTTAAATCATTTAAAATAAATGATAAAATTATTAAGCAATTATAATGATGTATAAAATTCATTAATTTAAAGTCATAATTAAAAGTTTTAAATTAAAGATAATTTATTTATCTATTTTTAAAAAATATTTTTATTATTCACCTTCGTTATCTATCTTAATCTAATCATTTTACAATAATATAGTATCGCCTCTAAATATATTATAGGGTAAACTACGCATTTAGTCCTTAAACTTTCAGTTTTAGTTCGTTTTAGTATAACACTCTAAACCCGATTGGGCTTAAAGTGCCACCTTGGGCTACCGAGGTAACCCCTGATTTTTCAAACTTGCTCATTTTCTTTTAAACATAGTCAATGGTATCATAATTAAAAGTCATACATAATTGTCATAAAAACATTTTATCAAACCAGAGCTCCGTGACACATAATTTAAGTCAAAATAATGCATATTGAGGTTTACAACTCAAATACATAGGTAAGGTTCAATGAATACACATGCCCACTAAAGCTACAATACAATACTCTGAATGAGATGTTGGAAGTCTTGCTGCGACGGTGCTCCACGAACTGTCTACCTACAATACTATACAACACGCAAGCTGAGGTAAGCATCATGGTGTGACTGAGGGGCTACATCTCACAGCTCACGTACCCCCTAGCCTACCTAAGAACCCGTGTGTAAACTGGGGTGAGATCCAGAACTACATAGAAAATGTACACCCTGCCAAATTACTCCGTCGAGTCTTGGGGCATCTACGCCCAGCTGGCAAAAGAAGATCCATAGCACTGACTGGTATGTACCTAGACAAACTAACAAACAAGACAATTACCCTACTAC